AGGCTCTTTTTTAAAAAAAAAAAAAAAAAAAAAAAAAAAAAAAAAAAAAAAAAACCAACTGAAACTGTCCTGAAGGAAGTCAATACGAATGCATAAACAAAACAAAAAAAACATAGATTTATTTTTTTTTTCTTTATCACTCCCTAAAAGAGACCTGCAGGGCTGGCATTAGTCTGCCCACATGCAGCTCTCTGGAAAAAACTACCATTAGGAAACATGTTTTCTAATATTTATTAATGAGGAAGAACCAATATCTTCCTCATTAATCCCTATCAAAATTATAATACAATTTTCACAGAAATTTGAGGAAGAGAAGAAAACATAAAAATGTTTCTGTGACAATTCTTGGTTGTCAGCAAATAACGCTTACCTAAAAAAGTCATAGTGTATTTTAGAAATTCAGCTAAGGAATGCAACATGAATGATTTCTTGCTAGCTCATCTCTGACAAAAACAGTATCTGCAAAACAAGCAGCAAGACTGAACAGAGCACTCTGTGTCCGTCAAAGATTGTGATCATGAACAATTGAAGGCCATAAAAACAACGTGAAGATCTAAAAAAAAAAAAAAAAGCCACTATAATCAGAAAGAAAACTACATGCACTGGTCATGATGAGCTCAAAAGGAGCAAAGGTTTATTTTTACTCCTGGTTTCAGAGGAACAGAGCATGGATGGTTTGCTTTGTTGCTTTTAGGGCAGTGCTGAGGCAGAATACCATGTTGAGATGTACAAAGTAGAGCAGAGCTCTTACCTCATGAAAACCAAGAAAGAGATAGTAAGCAGAGGTGGGAAGAGAGGGCAGGGAGGAGAGGGCTGAGGAAAGGAGGGGAGGGAGAGAATGGCCCCTACAAAGGCCCATTCCCAATGATCTAAATTCCCTCCATTAGGTTCCCTTTCCTAAAACCACCTCTGAATGGTACCACAGGGCAGTGATCAAGGCTTTGTGGGACAATTAAGATCCAAACCACAGTAACAGGGTAAAAAAAAAAAAAAAAACTTTAATTTCCATGGTTTGGGATTTTAAATAACTAGTACATTGGCATTTCCATTTATCTAATTACACATTTTCTTACTAAATGCTGACCTGCATCTTCCTGTCTGTGAAGGCATCAAGCTGCAAAGGGAGCAAGACAGTAAAGCTGTTCTGTGCAGGAAGAGGAAGAACAACTGACAGCCATACATAATAATTCAGAGGAACGGACTCCAGAGGTCAACCAAAACTAATGACCGCATCCCACATGTAAGAGGGCACAATTGTGTACCTCAGATATTTTATAAATGAGCAGAATGCACCGAAACAACTATGTGATGACTAAGCATGAAAAGTCCCTCATCGCCTGGTAGGTATAAATGTTAGATAATAAGGAAATAATGAGTCCATGAATATTTAATAATGTTGGCATACAGCTCTATACATCTTAATAGCAGGAGAATTACTGTGCAAACTACTGATTGCAATATAAAAAAGGATCCTTTTATGTATTAAAAACTAGGCTTGAACTTTTTTTTTTTTTTTGTCTTTTTGA